GATCATTCTTAAGGACAAAGTGAAACTGATTCATAAGTAGTTAAGAAGATTTTTTTTTTTTTCCAAGTTCATATTCATTTGAGAAATAAGAAGAAATGAATATCATAAGAAGCATATTTATTTTATAATTCCATATCTCAGGTAATTGATTTTTTTCCGTCAGGAAAAAGAATAATTGTTTGTATTCATTTAATGTTTCTTTCCAAATGGTAAAAGAGACTACAGCTAATAAAATGCTTGTAAAATTGTAATATATCTATGTGCTGCCTAGGTAACTTGCAAATTCTTGCTGTTATATGTATGATTTGTTTGTTCATATTGTTCGTTACTTTCTAAAATCACATGCTCATACAAAACTCCTTGAAATTTATAGACATATTTAACATTTAAAATATTCAAAAGCATTATAACCAAGAACACGTTAATTCAGGGCTTGTTTAGTTTTGTTCTATTTTTTGTTTTTAAAAACCGTTTTTATAAACCAATTTTTAAAAATTAGTTTTCAAAAATAAACTTAATAAAAATTATTTTGATTATGTTAATGTAAAAATAATTTTAAAATAGAAAAAAGGCCAATAATAGTGTCTCCAGTAGATGTAGTTAATGATGATGGAATTGATCATAGCTAAAAGTAATTTACAAGATCAAATATAGTGTGCTTTAAAAATTAAAAACAAAAACAAATATAAGATGTTTTCGTTTCTTGTTTTTAAAAATAAAAAAAAGAACAATTTTAAAAATATTTAAATATAAAACAATTATTCAAATATATATATATATATATATATTTGCTTTTAGAAACAAGAAACTGTTTTTCAAAATGGAAATTTGAAAGCTAATTATACTAGGTTTTTCCTTGAAGGAACAAACGGTTTCTGAAACATGTTAAAGAGTAAAACCATTTAAAATTATTAGGCGACGTTTGATTTATGAAAAAGTGAAAGAAAATGATAATGATATATTCCTCACTTCCTTTTTAAAAACACATTTTTCTACTCGCTGAACATTGCATGAGTAACTATTAGAAATCAGCAATCATTCACCATGACAATTTTAGAATCTGATATACATTGCTAGTTATCACGATTTTACAGTACCGACATGTGAGTGCTAGTTTTTTACAACCCAAACAAAAAATGCTTGATTTTTCTCTTATATCCACTTTATAATTATAATTTTTGGGTTTTCCGGTCTTGTCACATTTGATTTGATCATCACCTAGCAAATTTATTTTCTTTTGGTCATAAAGCAGAATTGAAGCGGAGTCAATGAACTATAAACTTTGTCAAATTTAGCACAATCCGGAAACTAGAAAGAATTCATTCCAGAAACAGTTTCATTATAAGATTTATCTAAAATAAAAATAATAATAATTCATGCCGATATTTATGAAATCTTTTTTTTTTTTTTCACTCACTTTTGCTTTTGTACTTGTATTTTTTTTCCCCCATCAAATGGGAAACAAGAGAGAAATCAGTACAGTGTCCAGAGACAATTTCATTATTTTCAATTGCAATGTAACAGTGGTATCACAAATCAGGATCTTATCAATTGCAAGAAAGATCTTACCTCAAAATTGAGGGATTCCAGAAATTAAGAGCGATAATTCTTTCACTTCTTGATCAAACAGAGCCTCAATTATCAACGAATGAAAGGGATTCTCTGCATCTTGAACACCAGAACCCAACAAAAAATCAAGAAAACAATGGGTGCTTCGGTGCACGAGCATGCTGCTTCCGAAGGATCTCCGATTGGCATAAACGGCGGCGTCAAGATTCCCTCCAGTGATGGTGGCGGTGGTGTGAGGACCTCCGGCATCGGGTTAGCTGATGTAGTTTCCGTGGTCGGAGGTGGCAGGAGAGGGAAGGAGTAACCGAAAACAGAGTAATCAAGAACACCAGCCACTCCATGGACGGCGATGGAATCAGTGCTGTAGAGGTTTGGGTGAGTGATCGGAATGTTGTCGAGAGTGAAATTGAAGTGAGAATTGTTGGTGATGACAATGGACATGGCGGGGAGGAGAGTGGGAAGGCGAGTGTTGGGCTTGAAGAGGAGAAGATCGGAGAAAGAGAGTCGCTGGGGGACGATATGGTAAGGGAAGAGAAGCGGGTCCATGGCTGGGTGGTTATCGGAGATGAGATCGCTGCCGTCTTGAGGGACAAAGAGGGTGGCGCTCATCGGGAGCATCAATGGGTTGGCCAAAGAGAGGATGGTCACCCAACTGGTAAAGTCGCCGGCCCCGATCAGGGCGTCGATAATGTTGCGGAGCTGCTGCGGCGGCGGCGTTGGCACTGCCGGAGGCGGTGGCTGCGCGATTGCAGAGAGTGAGAGGAAGAAGGAGATGAAGATGCAGAGAATGTCCATGTGAATGAGAAATTTGCAGAGTGAGAACGTTTTCATTCTTGCACAAAATCTTCCCGCCAGTTCGTCCCTCAGAACAACGAACGTCACAGATTATTTTCTCTCTCTGCAGTCTGCAATGAAACAAATCGTTTTATTTTATTTTTTCCCCTATCTAGAATCCTAAATATCATAGCGCGCGTGTCATAGAAAAAAATCTTAAATTTTAAACTTTCTTTTTAAAACAATATAAAGTAAGAATATTCTTTTTTAAGTTGAATTCTGTGAATGACAATTGAGAATTACATGAAAGTTGGTTTTATAAGTAAATTGTAATAATTTTTGTTTGAATAATCGAGAACTAATTTATTATATTTTGAGTGAAATAAAATGCAAAAGCTTAAAAAAAAATCCCATTCTCAATTTTTTTGTGATTAGTAAAATTTGTTTGTTTGGCAAAAAAAATAAAAGAATTAAATATATTTTAAATTAAGATAATTTAAAATTAAATTAAATTGATGATTTAAAGTTCCAAAGATGAACTAGGCACATTCACTTCTTGAATAGCAAAGAATCCAAATATTTATGTGAACTTTTTGAAAAAATAAAAATAAAAAAGGGCACAGGTCAATGTAAATGAAAGAATATATGATTAATTTCTTATTCACTTTTTGATGTCTATATCCCATTTAAAAATGTTTTTTAAAAATATGGTTTTAAAGAATCTGATTGGGCAACTTGAAATTTTAACAACATGCATAAATGTATCCTTTATAATAATTTTAAATTTTAAAGTTCATTAGCATAAATATCTTCATTTTAAGATCCTTAAATATTCCCCATGTTGGGCCTGAAAAAAGATTATTGGGCCACCAAAGTCTGAGACCAATGAGGACCCAATTCGGCGCTCCCATAGGTGAAACGACGTGATGCAGAACCAAAGCAGAAACAACCCCCACTTGGCAGGCACTACATCATCGCACGACTCCCTAAAATTCCACAGCATGTCTTTCACAAGCGCTGTGGGACGGGAACGGTTATTTCCCCATTGGCATGTACTCTCTCAATCATATTTATAAATTATTTTTATCATTCTTATTAATATCAATACAATAAAAATATAAAAATTAAAAATAATATAATTTTAAATATAATTTTTAAGTAAAAAATAAAAAATAAGTCAGTCATATAATTTTTTTTGTCACTCTCTTACTTTTTAAGAATAATTTAAAAATTTTAATTGAAAACAAAATAATTCTATCAACAAATGACTTATAAAATGAACTAAATTATATTTCTAGAAGGTGGCTAATATACAGGATTGGAGGAGGAGAAGAGTTTAAATTGAAAAGATTTTCATAAAAACTCCTAGATCAAAAATAATAAAAAAGAAAACCTCTAAATTTATGAAACTTTACTACTGTAGGTCTAGGCATTGAATTGAAATTAAAATTATCTAGAAAATGACAATATTGTCCTACTGAAAGAGAAAAGAAATTTAATGAAAAAAAATGAATGATGAATATAGGGTTACAAATAAGTAAAATAAAGCAATGAACAATAATTGAAAAGAATAATAAATAACATACAACAAAGACACAAACAAGCCAAACTTATATAAAGACAATACTTGAAATTAATTCTAGTGAAAGTGTTTCAATGAATAAGTAAAATAAGGCAATAAACAACAGTTTAAAGAATAATGAATTGCAAAGCACATATAGTAAAAACATGAATAATTTGTACTAATATGAAATCAACATTAGAATTAATTAAAGTAAAAGTGTTGTGATAAATAAGTGAAATAAAATAATAAACAACAATAATGATAATGAACCACATACGTAGAAAAACAAACAAGTTGTGCTGACATAAAAACAATATTTAAAATTAATTAAAGTGAACATGTTGTAATGAATAAGTAAAGTAAGGTAATGAATAATAGTTTAAAGAGCAATGAACAACATATAAAAAGGATAAGAACAAATTGTGCTAGAGAATTTTAATTTTAATTTAATACCCTAAACTTATAGTGAAATTTTCCCATTTAAATTCAAACTACACCAGCTTTTTTTAGTATTATTAGAGAAAGAATATAATTGGAATGGGTAATATTATAAAAGTATTAGTGATGAAATCTTATTTATATCAAAAAAATTTATGTTTTAAGATACTAAATCTTATTAATACCAAATTTATTGCATTTAGTCTCAATCAACCGAGGCTTAGAACCAAAATAACGTAGTTTTTGAAATATAACAACGAAACAACTTTACAACAATTCGTAGGTTCATTTCATTCGAGTTGAACATGATAAGATAATTTCTTGACTGTTTAATAGGCTCTTCGTAGAGATCGTTAACGTTCTCATTTTTGAACATATAAAACTAAACACGATAACATTTAGTTTATAAATAATTCATATTAAGTGCAGCTTGATGATGATACTGATATAGCAACCTAAGATTTTTGCATTATTGTTGGTTCAAGAATCAAGACTAGGAAAAGAATCCAAGATTGTTAATTAACAGCACCACCTACTTGTTGAATCATCATAATTAACAGCGCCATAACATTTCATTTGCAGATACAGGAATTCCGAGATATTAATGATATTAAATACATAAAGATGTTGATGTAAATCCAAAAAACACCAGGCCTGACTTTGAAAAGGAAAACTTCATTTCAAGAGAAAAGTTAGTACTACTACATTTGTAATAGCCTAATGGGTCAATGACATAGTCCATATATTATCAGGTTATTGCTAAGTGGGGTACAAGTGAGCAAAATTAGCCAAATTTGGTCCCAACCTCACCCAGCAACCTTCTCTTTCATGTACCTCTGATCAAAGAATGGACCTAATCAATGGCTAAATGGAGTATGGCTACCATGAATCAGAAATAATGGAGATCTTATTATTTTTCTATATCTACAAGCTTTTCTGGATCTCCTCTATCAGTGCCGCAATTTCCACTCTCCACTGAGAACTTTCAGCATCAGACCCCAGTAACTTCTGCATTGTGCTTAACTCATCAGGACTCGCTTTCTTCAACAATGCTTCCAGTATAAGTTTCATCCCTTCAAACGAGTCGCGATTTGCTCCTGCAAGTTTATCATCATTTTCATCCTGCTTTGTCAAATCAATGCCGAAAAATTTGGTGTCGACATCATCTGACAGGCTACTTGAACTGCCATGCACAAACTTAACGTCATCACTTGCACTGCTGGAAGATACAGAAGAGATTAATTCCTTGTGATTCCAGTACTCTATGCATTGATGACTGGGATCAAGAGCTTCAATACCCTGAAAGCATTTGTAAGAATGAGATCATATCAGTCGATGTAAGCAGAGGACTCATTTAGCATATATCCAAATAATTTAGCTGCCTATGAATGAAACTTAGCCATGGTAATCTAAGCTAATCGATTGCAACAGTTGCCAGTAAGTTGAGTTCTGAACAACTTAAGTACTGAGTTCTGAACAACTTAAGTCCACTTCTACATTGAGCATGCTACGTGGCCATAATATGCATGTTTACAAAGTTCAACATTTTTCAGTTAAGGTGTGTACAATTTGACCACAATACAATACTACGACGTATTATACATCAGCCATACAATGCGTTAGCATGCCAATTCATTACTACCTGGATAATTGATGGAGAAAGGAACCCAAACATTTTTAAACCATGGATGCTTTGCAGAAGCTCCAATGGAGGAAGTTTTAGTTCCCCTTGGCTTCTGCGCCTGATGATCTCACGATTTACTCTCTCCAGAACTGATTCCCAGCATTTCTCTGCTGACATGTTCGTGAAACCTTGACTTGGATGTTCTTCCATACTAACCTGAACAATATTCACACATGAGAAAGAAATGTACGCCAGTTGAAAGGATGAATTGCAATGATATTTGTGGTAACAAGAGCGGATTTCCTAACCATTCTAAAAATCACTAGCTTCATTTCTATTTTATACAGAACCAGATAATGATGCCACTGCATAAATTTTTCCCTTTGATGAATTAGATGGTGAGAACAATTGTCTTAACAACACATATGTAAGAAACAGTCATAACCAACATCAGATTAGCTCAGTTTTATAACTCATCTGCAGGTCAGACAACAAACCCCCTTGGCCCCTCCGATGAAAACATTGGCTGAAACTCATAGCAAAAGCAAAGGAAGCAACTTCTGTCATTAAAGCTGCATAAATAAACAATTTTCCCCGAAAAACTCCAGTTAAGAACAGACTACTCAAACATGCAAGTGTAACACCTACACGACTTTACATGCCTTCTTTCTCCCAAAACAGAAAGAAAAGAAATTATTTGATGCATCAAAATAAACATCTATTTGCTTCACTAAATTTTTTGGGTACATAATGAGGCCTAAAGTCCAAAAGGAAACTATTTAATCTAACAATAAACTAACCCAGTAATGACACATCATAGTTGGCTGAAACGTTTAAAAATAAGCTTATATTGAATCATTAAAATTATTGATATCATGACAATGAAAACCAAAGACGTTTGTGGCTATCAGCCAGAAATAACATATATGAAGAAACATTCACTTCTGCTTATTATTTCAAATCTGAAATAAGGTAAGGAATGATATGATACCTTGAAAAGAGGTCCGATTAAGCCACCATCAAGAACTTCAGAAATATAGCTACAGATTCTTGATGGATTAAGCATGCTAAAGAACTTGACACGACTCTTGAATCCTTCAGATGATTACCAAAAGAAGAGAAAAGTCAAATCCCAAAATATTAAATTAAAATATATGCAAATGGAAGGATCCAAGAACAGAAAATAACTGGTCTGCAGCATACCTTTTGGACATATCATGTGCTTACCGCACCACAGCTTTCCATGCACAATGGAGCCGAGGCTTATAGGTTCAACAGATATTGCAAACTTTCGAATTAGAAAGCTTTGGTTTTCCAAAGATGTACTTTTATTGAAACTGTCTATTGCTTCCATTTTACATGCACTGTTAGGTAATACTCTCATTCTCTGATGCATTGACAGATCATCCACAGACATCTTGCCACCATCAAATTTACTAGAAGTTCGATCACCCCTAGAACACAATGAGTAATCTTTCTTCAATGGAGAAAACATGTCTGATACATTTCCTTCGAGTACCACATCATCTTGTTCCTTTAGCGAGTCTGGGCAACAGACTTTTTCAACACAACCAATACCCTTGTTTGATTTGCTATCAGCAATAGGCAGGATATAATTTTCATTTTGATCAGACAGAACATTAAGATTTAAACCCATGCAACAATTCCATGCAACCTTAATTCCATCATCCATGACCAAACATTTGACATTAACATTGTCATTATGACTATCTACAATGTGCTGTGGTGCACTTTCCACTTGAGAATCTGACTGGACTAATTCTGAAGAAACATGACTATGAGGATCTTCATTTAGTTTTGACTTCTTGATTCTTGCAGAAGAAGATGAACTTTCCACTTCATTGATCTTAGTTTTGCACACTTCTCTGCCCACATATGGCTTATCTAAACAAACGTCCCCAGCATCTACAGAAACCACGCCAGAGGTCCTGTTCGCCCAAACCTTGATAGGTTCTAACTCTCCTTCTAATGCTTTAACCAACTCTTTCAGCTCCTCCATAGTATAACGAATTAGAATAAATCTTTCGTCAACTCCACATGAGCAAAATGAATTTGAGTGTTTTAGACAAGAGTATTTATCAACAGAGCATTGGCAGCCTGCAGCAGAAAGGTGCAAATCATAGAAGCAAGCAAAGCATTCTCTTTCCCTATCCAAATCAAAGTTGATATCCATTTTCAGCAATTTTATAGGAGTTCGAAGGCACTGTAACTGCTCTTCCTCAATCTTTATCCTTGTCTGGAAAATTTAAAAGATGATAAAGGGGCATTAGATCAGTAACTAAAATTAGTAATTTTATGAAGTGCCAGCCAGAATATAAAATGAGTCGCTAAATGAATGTTTGGGTGAAACTATCGTGAAAGAAGGGAGACTGTGCAACAATGGTTACCTTAACTGCGTTGGTAAGAACACTATCTTTCCCACAGACACTTTTCCATTTCAAATTTTTTGGAGTTTCCTTTCCTTCAAGAACGACCTCGGCAAGGGCCTGTATAGCTTCCTGGGCTGATCCTAATAACAACTTGTCATGTGACAATGATGTTTTACGGCACTGCTTACTATAAAGTTCAACAGCATTCTGTCCATGCAGTAACCAATCTACAGGAGCAACATTCACTGCTTCTGCACAGTTGAAACCACAGTTGAAGCCAGCATGGTATGCTCTTGGAAAGGTAATTACAAATTCCCCAGAATGCTGGACAGTGCGAAATATAGGCACTCCTTCAGATTTAAGAATTGAAGGTGATAGTTGAGTGACCTGCACAAAAATGAAATCAAAAGAATTATAACTACAACTAAGTCCACAAAGTTCGAAGTTATTTTCTGCTTAACAAAACTAGAACCTAACATTGTTACAGGAACGGAAAAATGAATTGGGACTTGTAAAGATATATTACTGTGGTCGCTGTTGGCATTAAAACTGAAATTTAGCCTACAATATATGGCGGTTGAGGTTCTAATCAACTTAAATATGCTATAAATAATCTTCGATAAACTTGTAATGATAAAATATCATTGGCAAGGCTCCACAGGACAAGCTCTCCAAAGCAAGTTCGAAGTATAGGCTAATCCATAATACATTATGTAAGATATTCATCCATCCATTATAGAGGGGCCTTTCAATCATTAAATTCTTAGCCAACACTTACTTAAGATTCTAAAGTGCATTTTAACTTCTGAGGGAGAATAACTGAAGAGATATATCATTTCATCTATTTATTATTCAATGCCTAAACCTAATAACTACAGCTTCCACTGTACATCTATTTTTTACAATAGAGAACTCTTATACAGGACTCTCAGTGTGCCAAACATATAACTGATATTAAACATGTAGTACTGCTTTGCAAATTTCAAAAACTGATCAACTCAACAGTTATACGCGCACGAAGCAGTTTGAGGTTTCCCGTAAACAGCACATGTAAAATACACATTTTGCATCAAACAAGTGGGATACTGATAACGTGGTCCAAATCATGTTAATACAATTATGTGCTTTTTCTATGCAAAAGTACTTAATGGAACAGCATAGAACCCCAACCAAAAAAAAAAAAAAAAAAATAGACCACACATCTTCTTGATGAAAATCGTGCACAACCAGGGAATAAAGGTTCACAACTGAAAACAATGAGGAAAGGTTCACAACATAATACCAGTTCATTAAGTAAATTTGGTTGCTCCTCAAACAAATCAGGCATATGCTTCCTCATCGCACCCTCCAAAGCTGTAGCATGGCTGCCAGGTACTCCATACCAGACTTTTGGATCACCCCAGTGCAAATAATTTAGCGAATAAAGGTGATGATCCTCAACGTGCTATTTCAATAAACATCAGGTGTAAGTTCAGTAAAGCCTAAAGATTTGAAATAAAAATGCAAAAGTAAATGCATCACTATATATTGTATTTAGGTACTGAGGAATCTAAAACATTTAACATTAGTTAACTTTTATGCAGTCAGTAGAAATGGTCCTTCAAGCTTCTCCATTCCATGTAGTGATTGATTTGTCTACAACTAAGGACTTCAAGAAAATTAATGTCATATCATGCTCTCATCATAACTTAGGTTCCCAAATTCAGTACTCATCCTCCACCATTTCAGCATTGAAAATCTTTAAAAAGTCCTGATTTAGTATTAACCTTCTCAGGATATCCTTAGCTGTCATTCTTCTAAAAGTGTTTATCCAATTTAAATCTTTCTTTGTTTTTTTAAAACAAGGTTAAGATTTATGCTGTGCCTGGCTAACAAGAGAAAATAGGGAAAAAAGAAAATAAGAGGAGAGAAGATGGAGAGAAGAGAAAAATGAAGAGATGTAATTTTTTCTCCATATGCTTGGCTAACCATGAGAAAACAGTGAGAAGAGAAAAGTTGTTAATTTCACATGGACAATAACAACTTTATTATTTGTAGAAAATATTTAGATATAATAAAACTAAAAATTTTAATATATTATTTATATTATTTTCATTACATATTACCAATGGAATAAAAATATATTTATTGCAAATTATTTTATCTAATTTTAAATTTTAATTATAAAATTATTAAATATATAATAATCCAAAAATTTTAGACTATATATAAGGATGAAAATAGAGGGAGGTAGGAGGCAGGAATTGAAAAAATTCATGGGCAAATTTGGAAATAAAGTTTTCTCTCAATAATCTCCCTATATTTGGAGAGAAAAGTTAGAAGGAAAAACATGTTAGCCCCGCATGTTATTTTCCTTCAATTTCCTCTCCCTCCTATTTTTTCTTACGTTAGCCAAGTAGAGGAAAATGTACTTTTTCCTCCACTTTTCTCCCCACTTTTTTCTCTTGCTAAGCATAGCATTAAGAATTCCTATTCAATTTATGATAACATTACTTGAAACATATAATACAACTTCGACAGGCAGACGGCTATATTTTGTTAGTTAGAGTAAAGTTATTCTCATTACTTACCCAGCAAAATGATGAAAAACACATCCCAACATATAGCCAAGGCACCAGAACTCCTGAGATATCACTTCCTTCAAAACATAATACAGAACCTGGAAGCCGAGGGAAATTATTCAGATTCCAGCCAGATAGTGTATACTGATCCAAGTCACTCTTAGTTAAGGAATCAGCCTTTGGAAAACCACTTCCAAGTGCCCCAGTTTCTAGGTCAGCTCCATAATACACCTACAATATGACATGAAATAAGCACTGATCACACATTTATTTGACAATAAAGAAAATCAAAGTAGCCTATAGGCAATAATTATTACCTCGACCTCATCAGTTGGTTGCTCAATTATTCGCCAATATTCACCTTCAATTTCCTTCACAGAGGGCTCCTGCCTTTTCTGATAATTATCATCACAAATTTGTCCATTGTCTTTGATATCTTTCAACCCAAAGTAGCATTCTTTAAAAAAAGCAGCATATTGCTGAAAGTCTCTTAGTGTGAAATCAAGTCCTGATTGGAATCCAAATTTTTCTTCAGATTCAGAAGCAGCATTAACTTCTGAATCTGGATTAGCAAGTCTCCTACAGGTTGCCATTTTAGAATTCTTTCTTCGTTTCCGTTTCCTTCCCTTGCTTTTCTTTCTCATTGGCTCTCTATTTTGAAGCAAGTCAATCTGCTGAATACGGGTGGGAAATTTAGCATTTTCCCAAATATCTTTCTCCTTCAGAGGACAGGGTGGAATCCAGCAAGGTGGAGGGACTATCCTACATATGCCATGTGGTTCAGCCAGAGGGCGTATCTTTGCTATGTAACCAAGGGTGTCCTCAAACTCCTAATAAGAGGTAGAAAAATTAAAACAAAATGGAAATGGAAATAAAATGTTCCAACCATCCAAAGCAATAACTTGAAGATAGCAGTCTTTAGAAGTACCTCAGCAGTCGGATAAAATACAGGTGCTTCATCAATTACAGGCAAGCATGCTTCATTTGGATCCCATCTGGCTGATATCTGCAACATGGAAACAATAGTTCAGCATACTGTTTAATGCTAGACTCACTTAGGGTTAACAAGACATATATTGATTGTAATGACTTATATCAAAGTCAGTGATAAAAACATGTCTAAAAACACAAACGTGGAAGAAGTTAATTCCCAGTTTTTTTTTTTTTTTGTACATGAGCAAGGGGAAAAAAAACAAAGTGCTGGTCATGGTACACCAAGCATCAGAAAAGCATTCTATACTTCATCAACAAAGTAAAGGCAATAGAAAAAGACAAGGGAGAAAAAACTAAAAATATTGAGCCAAATTTCAGACTTCCACAGTTCCACCAAAGACAGAATATAGGCTTGAATAATGCTCATAATCTAAACAGTATCGAATTCTATCGTTATCTCTACAATATATGGGGAAGGAACCTTCCTTTGCCAATCAAAAGCTTTCAATCTTGAAGGCCAAACCCTTACACAACAAGTTCAACAACAATAACAAGTTTTATCCCACTAGGTGGACAATGAATCTTCGCTCCAAAAAATTTGCTACATTCCAACACAAAACAAATTTCCATTGAAGTCAAATATTCACTAAATTTATGCTTATGTTTCAGCCTGTATGCTATAGCATCTCAACATATTTTCCAATTGATGTGCTTGGATACAAATAAGGGATTATGAAAGGAATTAGCAATCTAAAGCCATGTAGAGGTATATTTTAAAAGCCACATAGAAAATAGGGGTCACAACCCTGGTAAAAAGTTTTATCCCTGAAAAAGGCCATGAAACAAGAATGAACATAGCTTAGAAGGCCAGCTTACACTCAAATTCAAAATTTGAGGATGTATAATTGATGAACAAATGAACCAAAAACATAATTCTGGAGAGAAGAATTTAGCACAGACTCTAAACTACTAGTTATCATAAAGCAAAGGCTTTAACAGCCAAAATAGAATGTTACCGTCAGAATGTTTGAAGAGTAACAAAGTAAAACAGCACAAAAATACCAACAAATTCCAAATAAGATAAAAAGGGATCAGATCTGAAATATTTTATGATCCATAACAACACAGCATAGAAGATTCCAAAAGAGGAACTAAATATTCAGAACAGGGTAAAGTGCTCTAAGAACACAACACACAAGATATTGTTAGGGTTCAACATGAAAGAAGAATCCAACCTCCTTGTAGGGAGATTCTGCAGCCAATTTCGACTGTTCCATTCAATGCAGAATTAGGGGGAAAACCTAATTGAACAATGATTCCTGCAAAAGGAGGAAGCCAAGAAACACAGGGACCTTAGAGTCACCTCAATAGAGTTGCAATCAATCAAAACCGAAAACGGTTTCAAGTGTATATAAACAACCCATCCCGTAAAAATTTACAACAAAGGGGAAGAAAATGCAGAGAATATAACATACCAAATGCAGCAGAAGCTTTTCAGAAAGAGTTTGCTTCCCAGGTTCTCAATGGACCCAGGAGAGTTTGCGTACGCATGAATTAATCAAGAAAGTTCTCATGCATATCAGAACAGTAAAGACCCAATGCAAATTTAATTGACTATATTCATATCTAACGAACCCTCAATTCCTCACAAATTCCAAAACTGTAAATTTCCAGGAACATCGAAATCATTTGCCCAAAAGTTTTGAAGAATTGCGAAAAGGATAATAAACGGAAACAGGAATTTGACTTGGTAAAAATGTTAAAATGTATTGACAGGTGGAATGTGAAACAAAATTAATTAGTCGGAAATAATGGGAAGGATATCAGTCGAAAACAAAACCAAATAAATCATATTATAATTCATAATTAATAATAATAACCATTTTAGAGCGACTAGGATTCTCCGTTAAGAGACGTGGAGGCACACTTAATTATATTTTATTTGCTTTCTATTTTAGAAACTTTTAAGTATTTGTCCCTTATATGAACAGTGACATAGAAGATAGGAGAAAAATCAACGAAAGGCAAAAGATAATCATGAATAAATTTTGATAAATAAATAAATAAAACCCCAAAAATGAGATGAAATTCGGCGAGAGAGAGAGAGAGAGAGAGAGAGAGAGGGTAATCACGAACCCGCTGAAACGCACGCAGTATTAACGTCCACAGAAAGACAAACGCTCTGTTCCTATTGGGCTACTTTGGACTGTACCTTGTAAGATTCGTTTGTTGTGTATGCATATTTGAAAAATAATTTAAAAAGGATTTTCAGCCATTTTCAAATATTTAAAAATCTTATAGTTATTAAAAAATTAATATATTTATTATAGGATAAAATATACAAAATTCCATTACTTTTAAAATTTAAAATTAATCTCTCTAGTCTTTTATTAGCTAATAAAGATAGAAAAAAATATGGATAAAATGTTTAAAAAGTTATTATTAACTTATCTTTTAATATGACATAATAATTTCTGTAATTAAAATAATCAAAGATTAATGGTAGGAAAGTTTGTGAAAAAAAATTAAGAAAAATAAAATAAAAATGGGTAGTTTTGTGCAATATTCAAAAAAAATTATATTTTAGTCATTATTATAAAAAAATATGTTATACACACATATATATCACCTTTCAAGATTTTCGGGAAAAAAAAAAATATTTTTTCGAAAGAAGGATTCAACTTGATTTGATGTTCAGTTTGAAACATTTTTGTTCGGGAAACAAAAACTTAATTTATGTGATTAAAAACGAAATGTTGATATATATATATATATATATATATACACATGATGATCATTAATACTTCTTTTTCAATTTTTTTAATACTCACCAACAAAATATAAGTAAAAAATATTTGAAAGATATATAAACATTTTTTAATAAATAGTACATTATCCACAATGAATTAGTGGCTAAAAAATTGTATGTGATGACTATAAGTCGGAAACAAGATATATCATGTGACCCCAAAAAAAAAAAAACAGAGAACAAGATATGTCATTAATTATTAATTATTAAATTAATATGGCATAAATATCCAATTTCGTAATAATAAATAGATAATAATTATTGAAAAAAATATATAATTATTAGTCCACATACTTTTAACATATTTTATTATTAATTTCTTTAATTTCTTTTTTTCATTTCTCAAAGTCCCTTAAGTTTTATTTATTTGCAATGGTAGTCCTTATATTTTAAAATATGATTACAATGAGTTAAAACTTGACAACCTGTATATAAACTCTATTATTTCTTGCCCTAATTTGTTAAAATTATAATAAGTTATATTAAAAAGGGAGAATTATGTTCAAGGACTACTCAAACAAATCATTTACAAACAATGAATAATAACAAGTCCAATTTAAAAAATAAAATATTTTCATTTACATAATAATTCACTTCGTATTAGTTCTTGTCTGTAAATAATTTTTTGGATGATTTTTGCATATGATTCTCCCTATTAAAAATGAGTAGAAGGCAAAAATATAAGCCAAACATTAAACCAAAATTTTAAATATGCAATAGATGAAACTTCATAAAGAAGAAGACACAATAACTAGGATTGGCAAACACAACACGACAACAAAATTAATAAAGTTATGTGCATATCATTATATTTAACTTTATCAATGATGATAAAGACTCACAAGAAATTTAAGGAATTTAGAGCAATGGAAAGAAAATATAGAAATTAACACTAAAATATACTAAAAGTATATGAACCAATAATTATATTTTCTCTATAATTAGATATAGATATTCATACTAGATATAAAGTATGAAATTATACAATTCATCCAAACTCCATCAAAAGAATATACAAGTCCATATGGTAACAATAGGATGCTTATGAGTAATAAAAAAAAATTATTATGGAAGACAGAAAAGTTATTGCCAATAGTTTACTTTTTCTATTAAATAATATAAAGTATTTTTAATTGAATTTCGCCCTCAATAAAGTAGTTATTTTATATTTAAACTAATCATATCTTTTTATATTTACTTTTATTTAATAAAGTGTTTCACTTAAAAAAATATAAAGTAATCTATTCAATATGGGTACTTTAAAAAAATATTATATCTTAAAAAACTCAAAATATTTTATATTTTTTAATATTCTTTATTCACATACTTTACTCACACACTACATTCTTCCACAGGAAAGATTCCCCACTCACACATCCAACCTAAATTCTAACTTGCCACCTCTCTCATTTGAGGGTGGCTTAGCTACCGTCAGGCAACTAGGTCTTTGGTATCATTTATGTTTTCAAAATCTGTATTATTAGAAACAATTACAGTTATACATGATAACATAAATTGGTAATTTATTATACCGATATTGTCTATTTGAACATTATTTCCATATCCAAATTATTTTATAAAAATTTAATAGTAAATAAATATCAACATCAAGAAATAATTAATATATATAATAAAGTCTTTATAGCGTGATGCATGGATCGGAAATTATGAAAAATGTAATTGCTAAAAAAAAAGTATGTTCATTTCTGAGATGTGAATAATAAATGTGAATATTCAGGCAAAGAAAACAGAATAATAAATGTGAATATAATATTGTTTTTGTAAATATATATGATATGACGTGGGCGTTTTGAGAGGGAATGTGTGTCGATAGGAAAAGTTTTGCCAAAGAAAAATTATAAAACTAAATAATTTAAGAAAACTGTAAAAAAAAAAATTACGCTCAAGGCCCACAAAACATTCTAAATGCTACAAAGTATATTGAGGTCTTAAAACGTATAACCATTTGACAACTAATGTAGTTATCAATTTATTATCTTCAAGTCGTTAATAAATTTCATCACACGTCAAGTTGTGTGGGATATAGGAGTAATTTTTCAAAACAAAAAACATTATCTGTTAAATGGGGAGATGAAAATACTAAAAAAAATTAAAAGTATTGTGTCAGGAAGCATTAAAACACCCGTTCCGCTTTACCAAATGCCCACCTAATAGACACATGCTATGCCCTCTAAACTAGACAAAAAATTAAGAAAAAGACATCTAATGGGCTAATAGATTTGTTTATAGCTTTTAGATCAACCTTGAAAGTGTATTGAGCTGCCTGGGCCCTGATTAGAGGAGCAAATTTGGACCTAGCCTCTTTGTACCATCCTCTGCCGTGGTGGATGACATAAAATTAAAAGTTTAAGCATCATGCTTAGGCTCAAAAATAGAAAGGAAACGGGAAAGAAATGGAGAGTGTGCCACTCTCTCTAATGGGGCTTCATTTCCATAGCACTAGGAAGTAATTTGAGCTTGATTTCACTTTGATAAGTCTTTAATACTCCCTCCTCTCCATTTCTGTGTGTGTTTGAGTTGGGTTTTTAGATTTGAAGATGATGGTTTTGTCTATGTGAGGGTTTTGGTCAAGCCCATTTGTTTAAATGGGACTAATAAAAGTTGTTGAGTTTATAAACTTAAGGTTAGGATTTATTTGAGATAATGTGACTAGGTGCTCAAATTTAAGCAAACGCTATGTATAAAATAGATGATTTCGATTCTAACGGGAGGTAAGTGAAATTAGAGGATGATTTAATACACCTTATCTGTAAGAAATTATCAAGGGATTTACATTTAGGTTGGCTAAGCTTTGGTTTAGATAATTGGAAATGAGTAATGTAACATCATGAGTTCTTAACTCTAGAACTAATTATTTAATTAAGGGTAAATTAGTAAATTAGTGAGTTATTAGGATTTTGGATGGTAAAATTGGTGTATTGACTTCTTAGAATGTTGAATGAACATAATCAAGTGGAAGAACAACGTTTTCAAGAAAAAAGTGCGAGCGCGGTGAGAGTTTTCTCACCATGCCACATGTCACAACATACGCAATATGCATCGTAGCACATGGCACAAAAATTTGATTGATATGTACGTGGTTAACTCATCGGTCAAAGAGGGAGAAGAGAAAAAGGAGCACGAGGAGAGAAGGAGAAGAGCTCTCTTTGCTAGAGCATTAAGTTTTAGAGTTGTGGGAGACATTTCTGACTAGTCACTTGTTAAGTAAATTTCACACTATCTTAAACTCAGATTCTACCTTAATTTCTCTATAATTTCTCTTAGTTTAAGTTATAGAAAAATTGAATTAGGAAGTTTTAAGGGGTTTATTTCTTATCCTTTGGTAATAAAAAGATTCTTGAGAATCAAACTGAGGTTTTATGATTAGTCGGGGAGTTAATAATTAAGCTTTTAAGCGATAGGCTTAAATTGACCCTAAATTAATGAGTAAAAATGGGTAGAAATTGGTATAAAATGTGTAGGAGCTTATAGAAGTGTTAAAAGAGGTTAAAGGGGTAGTTAAGACCAAAGATAGTTGTTTACACAATAATGAACTATTAATTATGATTACTGGTGGTAATTAGTATTTATGGTTAATTTAGTAATTGATCAATAATGCTAATTTGTGTAGATTGTAATACTACGTGTGTGCTTTAAGCTAGAGGAAGTGTGTGGTGGCAATGAGCAATTAAAGAATACTATGAGTAACCTTTCTAGTGACAGAAGAGTTAAAGTAACTAAATAATTCACTCCATTTGATTAATTGGTATAATTGTTTGTGAGTAGATATATAACATTACCTCTTTGTACATGTTGTGAAATGGGAGTTTTGTGCATGGAATATGATTTTAGAAATGAATTTATAAAAGCATATGTGTATGTGTGTGTGTACATGGTTCGAATAAGAACATGTGATTTGTATATGAGAAATGTGAGCACAATCATATTAAGGAGTAAGAGTTCACCTGTAGAGAGGAGTAGTGAAAAACCATATGAAATAGATTCTCCTCAGTACCCGACGGGGTGCAGTGGTGGAAAATTTATCTTTTGAGTGCCTGGTGAGGTACAGTGTTGGAGATTTTCTCCTGAGTACCC